TGTAAAAAAACTGTAGGGTGTTACAAAAACACCCTTAAGGAAGGGTGCCTTCTATGTCCATCACTTTTTTAGCACCCTCTGAGGAGGGTGCGAGAAGGGTGCACAAGGGTGTTGAGTGCCCATGGCAGAGGTGCCAGTATTCTTTTAGACTGCACTAATAGATATCAGCATGCACTGATTACACACTACTTGAAGAAAGTGGTCCTGATTATCAATGGTGCACCACCTGTCGAGCTCCATTCATTGCGTCTGGGCAAAAGTATAAACGCGTACTATCGTGTATGAACTTGTGCTAGATCTATATATACTTCACAGTATATGCATAATGCGCGTTACAGAAAATGAAGCCTTGCTGCCCTTGCATATTGCGTTTATTTAATAGGCAAATAAAACATAAACTTTTCTTCTGCCACACAACTTTTTCACAAGATATACGTTCACGTATACGTACACTACACATGCAACACCTCAAATGTTTATTATATTTATTCAGTTTCACTTCATTGACAATTATTTGCAACATACAATTACACTGGTTTCAGTTTAGTATACTGCTTCAAGTACATGGAGACTACAAATGAAATATACGCTAATATATCCCTATAATTCTTTCAAGTATCTACAATCCCAGTGGTTTCCAGTTTAATACTCCTTCATGTACACAATCGGTTAATAGGAATGAAATACAGGCAAATATATACTTATGATTCTTTCAAATATATCTAATCACCAAGATTTCACTATATACACCTTCATGTACACAATCATTCCCAAGAAGTGATGCACACAAAAATATATATGGATAGTGTTTTCAAATGTATACAATCACAGTGGATTAAGCTTTGTATTCCTGAATGTATAACAATTGGTTATGAGAAATGATGTACATGCAAACATATACGGGTTTTCGCACATATAACTTTAGCGAATACTTAAGAAACCAATACAATAATCAGAAACACAATAAGCTAAAAACGAACACAAAACTGAGTCAAAACACACAAAAAACAAAAGAGGTAATGCATAATTATGGCTAATGACACAGCTGGGTCACTTTATGCCAAATGTCCTCAGCCATTTTGGCAACCATCTCAAATGTATTCGAAAAACTCGTGCTGCATTGAAAATAGTGAACTTCTGGAATATTTAGGAGAAAAAATATATTTGGTCACGTGGCTGCCCTCTGAACTTCCTGGAATGCCGTCTAGGTGTTGTATGTGAAAAATTTTATTTTAAAAGCACCGCTCCTTCTTTCCATACGAAACTCGGTCTACGTGTTACGTAACAAGAGCTTAATTTGGGAGAGTTGGTTCATCGTGGTTGTGTGCTAGTCACAGCGCGACAACTTTAGGAACAGACAGAAAGGACCGGAAAGAGCACCGACAGTCAACTGAATTTAATGAATGTGCTACGAGCGCTTTTATACGGAGTACAAGAACCGTGTTCATGCGCGACGACACGTGTGAGCACTACAAAATAATCTTAACTGTGAAAAGAATACTCCCTCTCGGAAAGGATAAGTGAACGTGTAGTGATGCACTGATCATTGGTTTACCTGATAAAAAATACTTCTACAAATGTTGTTAAATTGGCATTAAGTAAACCTATTCTCGTGACGAATGGGGCAAGATTGACTATTCCTGTTGCTGTTTAGTACACACACTTTTGAAAGCTTGCAAGGGGTGGAAAACAACACGCTAATATCATATCTGCTGGCTATTTTTTTAATTGTGAGACACATGATGTGGTATAACATGCAAAGGTTTTGGTCATTGTTTTTTGTTGGTCCTGTCTTCTTTAACTTTACTTTCTGCAGGAGGGTTTTGCAAACGGGTGTGATGATTCTGTTGGGATACCCAGCATCTTTTAGTCTTTTAATCTGGTTTAGACCTGACCTCACCCTTGTGCCATCATGACTTCTGAAGGGTGGCCTGAGTACATGTGGTATCAATTCCTCTTTCTACTAATTTTGAATGCCCACTATGAAAAGGCAGAACATTCTTAGCACTCCTGGGCTGATAGCACCAGCCAATACCCCAACAGCATCATCACACTTGTTTGCGAAACCCTCCTGCAGAAAGTAAAGTTAAAGGAAACAGGACCAAAAGAAAAAGAGAATGACCAATCACCTCTGCATGTCACACGGTCCTACGTACATAAGGTGTCTCACAATTTTAGGAAAAGAGCCAGCAGATATGACATTGTTGTTTTCCACCCCTTGCAAGCTTTCAAAAGTGCATGTACTTACAGCAACAGGAATAGTCAATCTTGCACCATTCGTCACTAGAATAGGTTTACTGAATGCCAATCTAATGTGTATAAGATGCCGCTAACATGTGGAAAAGTAAACATAGCACAAACTGGGCAATGCTTCAATGATCAAGCAAGACAGGATGCTTTAAATGTTAAGAAGGGCTATAGTAGTCTCATGGCCGGGCACCGTAAAGAATGTAAGTGTAGTCCTAGGTTTCATAAAACACGGTTTTTGAAAAAAAAAGCAAGCAGAAAAATGAGAGATTTTAGAACTCTTTATCAGGAAGGCCAAGGATCAATGCATCAGTACACCTTCACTTATCTTTTCCAAAAAAGAGTATTCTTTTCTCGGTTAAAATTATTTTGTCGTGGTCACACATGTGTTGTTGCAGATGAGCCCTGGTCTTGTGCTCAGTATAAAAACGCTCGTAGCACCTTCAATAAAATTCAGTTGACAGCGCTCTTTCCTGTCCTTTTTGCGATAAGATTTTTATAACAGAAAAAAGTTCATTTTCTTACAATTTAGGTATAATGATGAGTTTTCATTGTATCACAACAAGGAGCAAATTGCATCTCAATACGGACAAAAATCACAATTTTGTTAAATTCGTGATATTTTATCGTATATTTCAGCAGCTTGAGAGGTCTAAAGATATTTTTTCCTCAAAATATACCTTCTGTGGAGTAAGTATTCACTGCTCAGATATTTCATACAAAGTACAATATTGCAATAAAAAATGCAAATATAACACATTTTGGCTTTATTCTTGGAAGCGAATGTGGCAAAAAAAAAATTGCACTATTATTATTGAGCTTCAAATACCTTACAGAAGCACATTTACTTAACAGGTAGACCGAATTTGCTTTAGAAAAAATAAGCGGTAGTTTTAAAACAAAATTTTCCACAAACAGCACACAGACGGCATTACTGCCAGGAAGTTATAAGCCAGCCACATGAACAAAACTTTTTTTCTCGCTGAAATATTCTAGCAGTTCACTGTTTTCAATGCAGTAAGTCAGCACTTTTTTTTTCAAATACAATTCAAATGGTCGCCAAAGTGGCTGGGACGTTTGGCATGGAATGGTCCAGCTATGTTTAAGCAAAATAACTTACACAAATAACAATGTTTGTTCATCTACCATGACCACACTAGAAAAAGTTGTTCAGGCATTGTGACACTAAAATTTTCAGCGTCGTACTGCCTGAACAACTTCTTTGATAAACTCCAAACTCACGCCGAGAAAAAGCCGCTCAATCACGGTGGATGTTAAAGGCCTTGCGGCCGTAGACAATGTTGAAAATAAAAAAAATCAACTCATCAGTGCTGTCACTCCTTCTTCGTCATTACTGACACGGAAGATTTTTCGGTTATCCATGTGGAGGTTCAGGAAGTAGGCTTGCTCTAGGCTGGGGCCGGGGGGTAGACTACGCAGGACGTCAGCGGCACCCTCTCATCCTGTAATAAGAGCAAATATGACTTCTCATAAAAGGATGTTCGTGCTGTTCTGGCAGCACCATATATAAAGAATGTGTAGTGTGTATCCTTCGAAATGGCGTGTAATTGACATTACACTGAACTCGAAGCATACAACCCATACATTCCAATAATTTCGTATGATAAAGATAAGAGTTTTCCAGCATACAGCAAATTCCCGAAATGAGGTGAAGTGTAAAGGCTGGTGCACACCGGCGACTAGTCGCGGTCGCGCGACCATTTGCGACTGGTCGCAAGCAGTCGCGAACGGTCGCAAGCGGTCGCAAAGCGACTGTTTGGGCCAGTCGCTTCCTGACCGATTTTTTGGTCGCGCGACTGCAGTTGCAAAACAGTTTAACCAATCAGCGAAGACCAGAAGTGACGTCAGCCTTTGTTTACATCCGGTCTCCTCGTATGTTATTTTTTTTTCTCGTTGCGCTTGCCTACTGCCGTGAGGTACGAACGACACGTACGTTCCTCCATGGATTCTTCCTCGCATCAGGCGAATGCCACCACGGCCAGCTTTGGGTACTCGGCCGAGCTCCTCATCGACGCGACTAAAATGTACCCATATCTGTATGACAAGCGGCACCCTTCTTTTAAAGATCGGACAAAGAAGGACCGGGCTTGGGCAGATCGAAGCATGTTCGGCATGTCGAGTAAGTACCGAGATTTTTTGTTTGAGTAGCTATATAAGCAAAAACAGGTGTGTACTGCATGGCTGGCGTTGCCAACGAATGAACAATGAAAATATTGGTATTTGTACTGCAAGGTTACATGGTTAGTTTGCATGAGATGTATTGACTGTGATGTATGCGAGCGCAGTTGTGTGCATGTTTGTTCTCGCGACTTCCCGAGTTTAACATCGAAATCGACGTGACAGAACATTGTATAGCTGATAATAAAGCTCAGACGTTCGAAATACTGCTCGCAGTTGCCAACTCACTTGCGCATGCTCCTTGCTGTGTTTGTACGTCATCGTCTGGCCAAGGGAATGTGTGCTTTTGTGAACGTGCGGCATTTGCAATGCATAATATCTAGTGCGCGGTGAGGGAGGGGGTGGGGGTTACGCTTTAATTTTGCCTATGCATTGCAGTTGTGCTGCTTTAAAAAAGAATGCAAAGTAGCTTCTGCTTTGAGCGCATTTTGTGCACTCCACAGAGGAGCGTGTAATTAAAACAGAAAAAAACATGTTTAGCAGCACTCTCAAATGTCCGGATTTGGGAGTCAGACATACTGTTGATGCCAAATGACATGCAATCGTAAAAAAAAAAGATATGGTAGTGTTCTAGTGGCTGGGCGAACACTGAAGGAAAGCACAGATGGGGGAATTTATTCCTCTGTAATGTGGCCCAAATCTAATCCTCATTTCTTCACAACTGTTCCTTTCCTCTCCTGTGTTTTTGTCTATTGGTGCCTTTATATTTTATTCCCCGAGGTTATATCTCTCCGCTTTCAACTGTGCCTCGTTTTTGTTTGTTTTCTTTGTTCCTATATTTTAAAGTCAATTTTTCATGTCTGCTTCTATGTGTTGGTATGTTTTCATGTTTTGGTTCCTTTATTTTCTTATATTTTCCTTCCTCTCGCTCTCTCTATGTTACACTTTGAGTCATATACTATGTTTGTTGCATTTCTTTCTCTCGAAAATTGTCATCTTGCTCTAGTTAGTTTCATTCTTCTTTTCAAGTTATTTAACATGTTTGCTTTTGTTTGACAACAATCGCTCCCGCTGTACACGACAGTTGCGCTTGGCCGATACCAATGGTATATACTCACCTGTGGAGTTTTGCGCAATGCAGTAATGCTTAGAAAGCTTCACTGTGAAGGTGATAAAGACATCATGTGCTGGTTCATGAAATAGACTTTTTGCAAGTGAACTTCAATTTCCGACAGTATAAACAGCCTCTTTGTTACAATAGCTTGGCAGACATGCTTACCTTCAAGAAACAGTGTACATAACTCTTTGCGCAACTAATCATTGCGTCAGCTGTGATGTCGTGCACATGTAGGTGGACGGTCCAAAACACTAGGTGGGTAGCATTTCTGGAACCCTCGGCTGCAGGGTTCCCTCAATCATGTAGTGGTTTTGCAATGTTTAAGCCCCTACCAATAGTTAAGTTTAGATGGCATGCGATTCATTTTGTTGCCCAATATTCAGATTTCTAGGGTGCTGCAGCCGAAATGATCTGGGCAAAGAAAATAAAGCGATACAGTATGCACAATACATTCTTACAGCAAGGGTTTTGTTTTCAGGTGTCCTTGTTGAGAAACGATTTAAGAACCTGCGTGATATCTTCAAAAGGAAACAACACGACATACGTGAAAAAACGAAGAAGTGGAGCCGGAGCAGCCGACATTCCAACAATAAAATGGCCCCATTTTGAGGCCATGCTTGAATTAATGGAAGGAGAGTCTGAGCCTGTGGCGTAAGTTCAATATTAGCTGACTATTGAGTACTAAACAAAAAAAAGTTGATTTAACTCACATGACTGTTATACATACACATAGATACTCACATATCAATACACATAAGTACACTGCACATAAACATAGAAGTCCCAAGAGGTAATTCACAGTGGGCATGCATGTGATCATGAACATGATGGCAATGGGCTGTTTCGATGTCGAATAACTGTGGCTACAGCTACGAAGAATAACTCAGTGCATCATTCTTTCTGGATACTGTGCAACATGAGTGCCATTGACCAAAGGTAATGAATAGTGCTTACCGTCCATTGAACAGAAAATGAAATGTTTTGGTTAGCATAGCACAATGCATCAGCACAACGCAAAAAATATAGCATACCGTACAAGTGGCACGTGGACAGCTTCACAAAACAGAATATTGAAGACAGAACAGTAAGAATGAGAGAATTGAGTGTACTTCTGTGTCATTCTCGGCTCTCATTTACCAAAAGAAGGAAGGCTTAATACAAAATCTAAAAATCTAAAGAGATCGCTTATTGCATGTGTCATGAGGCTGTTCATAGACAAGCATTGCACATATTCATTACAAGAATGCAGCATAAGTACTTATATTGTAGCAAAACAGTGAAAATGCTCTAAAGATGCACACAATAGCACTGACAGAATCACATATTGCATGTTCTCTTGCAGCAGCCACATCACAGCAGAAGAGGCTAACGAGAGGTGAGCATGCACAAAAATTTTCGGTACCATGTGCATGCACTTGAAGCTGTACACGCATGGACTTGAACCTAGAAACATTATTTTTTATTACTAGGTGATTGTACTTTGCAAAATTATCAAAAATACAAGCGTGCTTGAAAGGTGGTGTTCAGGTCGTTAGCTTGCCCAAACCACTGCATTTTTTTCAATACATTCAGCACTCAACACTGAACAGAAGCACACCGGAATACATGAGGGCACAGGCATTGTTTCTGTGAGAATGTGGTTATTTTACAACGTCAAATATTTCTGAAAAAGCAAAGTATTCATCAGCGACAGGCTGCAATTACTTTTACTTCATCTCCGTGACAATATCTCTTGTTCTCATTTAGATGTGCAGCCTACATAGCATTTTATTAACATAATAGGCACAATAAACTTCTGTATGCACACCTTCCATACAGCAGTGCTCAATCAAGAGGTAACGCAAGTGTAAAATAAACCTCGTAATGAGTGAAATTATAATGGCATTTTAACTCCCAAAGAATGCCTAAAACTGTTCATGTACTAGCGGCATCATCAAATACATAGAAAGAAATTTTCATCACTGCAGATCACCGCCTCGGCCAAGACATGCAGCGGAACCGAAACGTTCCCCTGATACGGCTGAGGAGACTTGTGTCGACACCTGCAGCAATGAGTAAAACCTTTATGAATCCACCTAAGTAATGATAAATGAAGGGCATGCATAGATAGCGAATCTATTAAATCTTAAAAGCATGTTTTGTAACCTTCTTCATGTTCTAGCACATTTGGAGAATGTGCCTAATGTTTTCACACCAGATTCTGCTACATGCAATTGCAACACTTTATAAGTTGTATAATAATACTGCCTCCTTCTGCGGTGATGCTTCAGCAACCACCTCAAGAGAGCAGCCACCATCAAAACGGTGTGTAAACAAAAGAATTATTTTAGGTACTCCTGGCAAGAGATCACAACCACAACTTTTCGAAAAGGATCTCTTTCTGTACATTTAAGCAATATGTATAATTCACTGCAGGTCACGCTCGTCAAGACGACAACGGACCTGCGAGGGCGCTAGGTGAGATATACTGCTAACTCTTAGAGGATAAACTTGCAGATTTTTTTCTAACAATCCTGCGCATGCTACAAAATACAAAACTTTATAAGGTTAACGCTCGGTCAAGTTGGTACACAGACATAGTAACAAAAAAGAGTGTGAGAACGACAAGGTAGAAACAGAAGAAACAGGACAGAGCACTGACTTTAAACTAATGTTTTTATTGTGGGCACATTTATACTAAGGCAGACAGAATCCATGTAACTACCGTAATATTTAGACGTTAATATCAGAACATCAGCACCCTGTCCCAAAACACGAGTGTCCGTTTCAAAGATCAAAAGCCCATTTATTTCTCACAGAGAAGTAGACGCCCTATTGACACATTTATCTTTTAAGTGTGCTATTTAATTTGCTTCAGTTGCTCTATATTTTTTTCTTTCTTAGTGCCGAAAATCACAAACATTAGCTGAAAGTCAGTGCTCTGTCTTGTTTCTTCTGTTTCTACTTTGTCGTTCTCACACTGTTTTTTTTTGCTAAATGGTGCTTTATGAAGTAACAATGCAACCTTAAAGCATTTGCATGAATCGCAATTCACACTTGCTTTGCAGCAATGCAGGAGAGGGCACAAGCCATGAAGCTGTGGCGCAAGCGTGCATGGAGCACCTTGAACACATCAGAGCGAACAAGGGGGTCATCAAAAAAGATAACATTGGTTTCTTCGCTCTACGTACCGATGCACGCCTCAGAGAGCTACCAGTGCACATTGCACAAGATGTAATGCATGCAGTAGAACTTATGCTGTATGAAGCAGAGGCAAAATTGCGTCAGAGCAGTGAAGCAAATTGAAGTGTTTATATATATAAAGTCAATGACACCCACCTTTTTTTATCTTGTGTTCACTTTTCTAGTCCTAACTTAAAGGGGTCATGACTGGTCACTCAACAATTGACGGTTGTCAGCAAAAAACAAAACTACAGAGTAAAATGTGCTAGTACACGTATGAAAAGGGGCCTTAGGAGATTATTTTAGTCAAAAATATGCCGTAGAAGTGCTCGGCTCCTAAAACTCAACCTACCACAAGTGACCTGCCATTTTGTCATGGCGTGCGAGACGTCACAAGCCGAAGGAGCAATGGCAAATGGTATACGCATTGCACATTCACAGGACCCATTTTGACATCCGAAATTATTTGCTGCAAGTACCAGCGCTACATTGCTGACACAGTAGCCATGTTTCGACCCCTGGAAGTCATTTAGCTTTAGTGGAGAGTTCAACAATGCGAAAAAATTTGATTGCAAACGCAGTTGATGACAAAACACGACCGTCTGCCAGAATGCACACTGTGCAGCAGCTTGTCGAGCAAGCGGTTCGTGATGTCATGGATAGTGAGTGCGTCAGTATTGCCCAACTGTCAGGCGACTAGCTCGTTTATAAAAATATGCGATTAAAAATTAGCAGCTTGACCAAATCGCTCGAATTTTACCAGCTTGTATGTGAACATACAAGAATCAGCTCATACAACACACATTATGGTTGAAAATTGGGTGTCATGACCCCTTTAAGGCAACTTATTTGTGTGATAATTGTAGCGATAACCGTGCAATAACTCAAATATTTTAACATGAATTATTTATTCTTGTGTTTTCATGGTTATATTTGGACATGACAGTTTTCCCTGTAATGTATCTGTTGTGTCACGGGTGATCTTTTTCTTGTTTGTTTAGCTTAAGAAGATGCTATGTACATAAAATTCTGTAAGCAATAAAATGCATTTACAACCCACCTTCACCTTGTACGCCTCAAGTGCTGTTCACCACTTTGTCCTGCCAAGGCACCTGACCGTCTGTGACGAAGTAGTGCGCCAATTTATCTCGCACTTCCTTGGCATACCTACAACGCATAAGTGCCATGTGAAACTTCTGTCGGCACAGCCATGATGGAAGACACACACTGTAAAAGGAGCATGCTGAGCTTGAAAATCTCACACATAGTTGCATTTCAGTGTCGTAGTCATGACGCTACATTGCCAAAGTGTTCCTCATTTTTATGTATTAATGAGCGCTACCTCTGCTGTCTATTTTCTATGACATCACAGCTTCTGATAAAATGCATATTTGCTGACTAACTTTAGAAATTTCGATATGTCAAGTTTCATGGCAGCCAAGGTCAGTAACTGCTCGCATTTGGACAAAACCATTGTACACTTTTGAGAGAACGATTGCCCTGTACAGTTAAACCAAATTAGGGCTGGTGCACACCGGCGACTAGGAGCGGTCGCGCAACCATTTGCGACTGGTCGCGAACGGTCGCACTGCTTGTGCACTCTGCAAGCTGTCGTATATGCAGTGAATATTTCTGTGCCTACACATTTTAGCGAATCATAAGCATGCATCAACCTTTTCATGGAAGAGCGTACGTGCTCATATCACTCAGGTTGAAAAAGGGCAACCTAAACGTACCTGTAGCAATTTCCTTAGCATGGATTTCTGAAAAGCTGTAAATTCAAGGAGAACCTATTACGCAAAACGTACATCACTCAAGTCTATTGTTCAAATTGCTTTCACACAATGTGCTACCGTCCACAATACGCCACTGCGCTACTGTCCACAGTGTATTGGGTCACTGTCATTTTAACAGAACATACGTATAATTGTAGCAAGGTGCAGGGGTTAAACGCTGCCTATGTTTGTGAGAAATTTCGCATGTGTACTTGTGCAAACACACACCGTCGTGCATGCAGATACATAAAGGGTGGTTGGTTGAACCTCCTCCCTCCCCGATGCTGAAAAATATTTTTGGCATGAATACTCTTTGAGTGCCTCGAACAGCACATCAATTTGTCCTAACAATTTGTGCATAACTGTACTCGCAAAGCTTAGGATTGTGTTTCACTTATTTTATAACATCATTAATAATTGCGTTCTATATAGTACCTGTGCATCAGGATAACAGAAAACGGGAACTGACCGGTCCACAATGTAATGTCATTGTGTAGCGCAGAATCCCATTTTCTGGGATTTTACAAGCGGAAACCACGCAATAAGCCACAACAGATGGTTTTGAAATATTCACCACCTGAGATTCTTAACGTACGTGCGCAACAAACGCGCCAACTTAAGTGCATTTCGCCTCCACCTAAAGGCGATCGATGCGGCCGTAATCAAACCCGTCACCTACGCGTAAACTGCCGGCCGCAGTAACGACTGCATCATCGAGCCCACATACGTCATAAATGCAATTCGTTCTATCCGCCCAAGCAAAACTTCCTTACAAGCGAAGCGCAGCCGCAAGCCACAGCATATTAATCTTCAAACCACACGCTCTTACCTAACGGTCATGGCCAGGCAGTCGTGCGCCGAAATTGTAGGCCGGTGGTTTGTGTCCTGCTTGGATATTGCGGGGCGCAGCAGTTCGAGCACAGTATCGAACGTTCGTGGCGGCATCCGCATGAAGCTAACCACCAAAAATAGAATGAGATAACATGTTATGCACCATCTTATAAGCACGTAAAACAACCATAAACTTACTCTCGGACATACTCCTCGTCGTGCGAGCGCAAGTCGGGAAGCAGACGCCCTGTGTGGACAGCCACTTCTCGCGAGCGAAGGGACGGTCTCACCCACCACCGCCTTGCTTGCTTTGAAGGCTTTTGTGCTGCCAGCGCTGACACGTTGGCTGAGAACATCAGCACCGCCACAACCTCTTCTTCATCACTCGACTCGAAGTCTATGATGCTGCCGGGAGAACGCACACACACACAGCCGTCAAAAACAAACGCATCGCGCTCAGCGGGCTCCGTATCTGATCAGCTGATCGTCGCCGGTCGCCCAAGTTCTCGTTGATAACGAGATCTGTACGTGACTCTCCGGGTTTGCGACTTCCGGTCGCTCGCATGCAGCCTTGCCGGTGTGGACGTCGCTCGCAATTTGGTCGCCAGTCGCAAATGGTCGCGTGACCGCGGCTAGTCGCTGGTGTGCACCAACCTTAAGACTACAGCTCAAAAATGGCACTTACGAAAGCCTGAACTCACCTAAGAATCAAATTCCTTCTAGGGTAGTGAGCCAGTGTGAAAAACAATTCCTAAAGTACAACGTTCAGAACATGTAACATTAATCAAAATGCACAAGAAACTTACCTCTTCATGTACAAACAGTGAAGACATCTCTGCTTTCTCGTTTACATGAGAACAAATGATCTTGGGCGTGGCACTAGGGAAGAGGTCTGCAAAAAAAAGTAAAAGATTTACTGACTTTAATCACACCTCTAACAATCTGAGGAATTGTTACAAGTCACCAATCAGTGCAATTCTGACTGCCTCTATAAGGGCATCAAAAATGAACAATTTTCTCGTTCTTTCTACTCTCACAAGACGCTCCGTCAATGGAATCTAATCCAAATTTGACGCTGTGCTTCCTATTTGCCTGCTTTCTAGACGTAGGGCTGCGAACATGTGTTTTGTGCACCTAATCTAGCACAGAAATTCGTCATCTATAATTCAATCATCTTAATTCATTGTAATTTGATAAAAGATGTGATAGCTCGTCCAGTTTTTAAAGAGTTGCGGGCCTGCAATAGGCACTGCCTTGCACGTATGAAAGTACTTCTTTTTAAAAAAAATTCAAAGCTTGCTTTCAGAAAAAGCGTCTGGCATATTTCGACAACCAAGCCCATCCTCTGATGGCAATCAGGGGCACGCTATTAGCGATTATTGATTACGGGATTTAAAAACGTAACCCGTGCCTAAATACTCAGTTAAACACAATCACGCAAGTAAGAGCGCTCGAACGACACCAACGCGCGCGGACGCCGACTACGTCGCAGCAGCCATGGCTTATGCTAGAGCTACCGCACATAGCTCCAACAGTCACGTGTACTCTCTCGATTCTGTTATAACGCCGAACATTATCGCAGATGAAAGCGAAGCACGAAAATAGCAAACAGAAACGAGGGAAAACAACGCACGGCGATGGCCACAACAATGCGCCTTTGGAAGTCTGCTAGATCTTTCCCTGTTGCTGGTGGCACTTGTCCTAAATAGCTTAAAAGACCGAGGCGCACGTGCTGGGAGCATCGCGGCATATCAGCACCTCCAACAATACCGTCTTTAAGCGAAAAAAAAAAGCCATTTCGTACAGTGCGCCGCTGTACATATTTTTTGCTTTTTCTTTCTTTTTTTTGCGCTTACACCTACAGAGGCACGTTGCACATTTGAGTATTAATAGAAATGTTATTACGATGTAGCCCAAAGCACACCTTAAAACAATTCAATCACTTTGTGCAGTGTAGAGACAATGTGCGATCAGCAACTAATCCCGCCCTTGTTAAGTGATCACATCACTCACTGTATGAGTGATGCAGGCACTTACACAACATCGCGCATAGCAGTGTGAACTCGTTAAGTCACACGTTTATTCGGGCATCTGCAACAGGCCCGCGAACGCATGCTGTTGTAAATGGCTGGCAGCCTACTTCGGCAGAGCTGCTGCAGGCGCCCAGCTAGCGCTGTATGATTACTATTTACGAAAACAGTACACTCACCGTTAACAGGCCCACGTTGTCCGTGTCCGCCACTCCATGAAATTCTTTAATCCGAGCGTCACTTCGAACACGGTGTCATGCGTGACCACCATTGAATATGCGCCTGTTCGCTAGAACAGACACAGCGACCAAGACCCCAGACCAACGCAACGCATTTGAAAGACGATGAGACAGGGAGAGCGACGTTGAGAGAGAGAAAGAGGAGACACTGGCGGCGGCGCCGCAGCTGTCGACGCAGGTGTTCGGTGACGCAACTATTCGCTTATCTACGCCGCCGTTGTGGGAGCAACGCTGGCCGGGGTGAGCGGGGGGGGGGAGGAGCGGGAAACCCGCCAGGACGGCGCCGAAGAGCAAACGCTATGGCGCATACGGCGGACGGCCGTTCGTCGCGGAATGACTCCTTGTAAATGGCAACTCTCCTTCCAGCCAGTCGCACAGCGACGCAGGTTATTTACCAGCCTCGGGTTCTTGGAGTATTTTGACGGAATGCGATTGCAGTGGGCGAAAAATAGTGAAGAAAAACTTGCGGAAAACAAAGTGCC